AGGCATTGATGCGATTAATCGCGATTAAAAAAATGTAATCGATTGACAGCACTAATATTAATATCAATAGAAATAAATAATTCGACCACTTTATTTGATGAATCTCAAAACAAGATCATTTGTGTTAAGTTATTGTCGAATATTTTTTGGCATTTTAATGTACGGACATGCATTCTGAAAGGGTTCGTAATTGCTTTCCAGATGGGGTCGTTGGAAAGATATCCTTAACCACGGTCGTTTCAAGAAGCAGTTGACCGAGCGGGATGTGGAGTCCATCTGCAGAGCCCTGCTCGCCTACTGCCTGGTCCATTACCGTGGCGATGACAAAATAAAGAGCTTCATGTGGGACCTGATAGCTCCCACTGAAGACGGGCGCACCAAGGAGCTGCAGAATCACCTCGGTGAGTGTTTCCCATTCACTTCAAGGATTTATTACCTTCTCTGATAGCAAAACTATTCACACCTTTGACCTCTCAAAGCATTGCCGCACAAGCTGATAGTTCTTTTTTTCCACTAGGCCTGTCAGTCCCAGTACCTCGGGGCAGAAAGGGCAAGAAGATGAAGACCCAGACTAGTTCTTTTGATATCCACAAAGCTGAGTGGCTCCGGAAGCACAACCCTGAGCACATGCTGCAGGACGACGGCTATAAGAAGCATCTGAAACACCACTGCAACAAGTAGGTGTTTGGCTATATTCCATTATACACGCAGCCCTGTTAGAAATGCATTGTTGTTATTCAGTCTCATGTACTTCCACATGTGTTATTGCCATAGGGTAAATAAGTATCTTGGTTTGTCGCTGGATGACTTTGGATGCTCTGTAAATGTTCTAGTAGATGACTGATTCTGACTGTATATTGCTGGATAGATTTTCTGCCTTTGGTGGTAAGAAAATAGTTTGCTCTTTATGTTAAAGCCTTTAAGCCGTTATAGCTACTAGCAGGTGGTGATTATTCTCTCTTAACTGCAATTTTTTTCATTTATTTCTTATAGAATGAAGGCTAAGTGAATAAAAATACAATTTGCATGTGGCTCAGATTTTAACAGGGTTACTGCCAAGCCACAGTAATTAGGAAGCACTCCAACTTCTATTGAAGCTGACAGCCTACTGATTGATTAACGGACGTGGATCGCATGTGAATCAGCTGGCTCTAAAGAACCCCATCAAAGTTCAGACCAGCTAATGGTCATCATAGATCTCTCTTATTTAAAGCTGGATGTGAGTGCTTGGCTCTCATTGAAACGCTGGTTTGAGACGTTGGAGCACAATAAAGTGTTGCTTCTCTTCGGGATGGAGGCAGTTGGTCGCTGAGCTCTGGCTGCAGAGCTCTGCAGCTTCCATAGAAAGTTCTCCTTTGTTTCTTTGTCTAGTAGTGCTGAATCTCATGATTGTGTGATGTGTGACATGCCGGGCATTTGGGGACACGTGCTCAGCAGAGTTTGCTGACTCGTGCATTCTCAGTCGGAGGACCTGGAATGTGACTGGCGGTCTGGGGGTGAAGGGTTCACCGGTGCTCTAAGCAGGGCTGCATGTTTGCAGAAGCACATGACTCCTTTACGGCAAAGGAAAACTTTGAGAAGCAATTATTTCTGATTGGTTACAAATCAAGCACAGAAGTATGTAGACATTTTACCCCTTTTTTAATTAATCTGATTATTCAATAATTAGAAAAAGGCGGAAACTCCTTTAGATTTTTTTCCCCCTAGTTAAAATAGGGTCTTACAGTATGATGGATTTCATGCATGCTCCTCTCTTCAGAGGTGCTTTTCTTATTTGCTTTGGAGAGGCTGCCTACAGCTGTGTAGAAGAGATGCACCGAAAATTTTCAGCCACCAAAAATATTCAACCGAAAATGGCCAAAAAACCTTCTCAGTTTAGGGCCAATAGACATTTAACACTGAAACAACATGGGCAAAACTTGCAATGATGTGGTAAAAAAAAAGCAAAGCCAGCAAGAAAGAAAAAAGATTGCAAAGAAACGGCACAGCCAGCACGCAGAAAAGTTGTGGAGCGCATAAAGAAAGGACTGAGACAACAGAGCACAGGTAGCACAGCAGAGTTTTTTAGCTGACAGGTTTTGAGTGAGGTGGGACAAATTTAAGCACTGCACACCAGTCTCACTGTGCGCTCAGATAAGTGGCACAAAATGCCATAGAATTAAAAAACATCCCGATCACCACTCTGAATATAAGAAGAATAAAACATGGAAACCAAAACTGACACCAAACATGCCCACTCTGTCTGGGTAAGAGGTGTCTGAAAACACAAGAATATTTTCCTAAGGTAAAAGACATCACAACAAAATTTCAGTCGCAAATACATGTTTTAGTACTTTTGCTATTGAATATTTAATTGAAATGCCTTGAGTTAAAAAAAAAATAAGCTTTTTAATAGGATTAGTGCACATCGTATAATATTTGACATCATAACTTCTTTCTGTGTTTTGTTTTTTTAGCTTCGGTTTCCTAATTTTTTCGGTTTCAGCTAAGAACTTTAATTTGGGTGCATCCCTGCTGAGTAGTGTTTCTCTGAAGCCTCTCAGGATGAACTGTCTCCCAGACACCACCCACCAAAAAAGGCTTAAGAGCGATTTTGATGAAGGGCTGCAGTGACAGGCAGAGGACAGGCAGCTGCTCCTGGTCGACACTGAAAGAGGGAGGGAGCGATCTGACCTTACAGAGATGCTGCTGACGTCATTTTGCCAAGGCCTACTGTTGGACCTTGAACGCTGAAAAACTTCAGGGGTTTTTATTGGCATTTTATGTGATAGAAAAAATGCAATCCAGTCTGTATGAAAAAGAAAAGGCCTGCGTGGGGCATGATGTGGCAGTCCACCTGTGTGTGATTTAATTTCAGTAAATACAGCTGCTCTGTGGAAGCCTCAGATGTTTGTTAGGAAACATCCGTTAGCTAACTGCATCATGGAAGCCAAGGAACAAAGAGTTGGGTTATTAAAACAATATCACAGAGCATCCTCCAAAAACAGAAGGACGGCACGTCTGCAAACCCACCAACACATGGCAACTGAAGTGACATTTGTGGCCTAAATGGGACAGGCAGCTGAGAGGCCTGTGGTAACCTTGGAGACACAGCAGGCCTCCACAGCTCAAGTGGGAGAATCTGTTGACTAGACAGCTAGTAATCATGTGTTCTACTTCTGAAACTGTAAATAGTACCGGCAAAGCCTCAGACTTACCCAGGCGAAGCAGTCAACCTGGACCGACAGGCTGGGTTAGTAAGAACTCAGGAGGAGCTGCTGATATAAACAGAATAAATGGAGGAAGTTTTTCAGCAGGGAAAATGATTTGTTGCACCTTTCATAAAAGAAAACGGTTATCATAAACATTTCACAGACACAGCAGACGTGCAAAACGGGTCTCTGGTGAGACATGGTGGTGGCGTCATCATGTTATGAGAACGCTTGTCCCTAGCATGGACCACAAAGCTGGTTTCTAGAAGGTTGATTTAGCTGGATATGGGTGTTTATTTGTCTGTTTAACCTGACAAAATGTTAGAAACCTTAAACTAGCATGTTGTTTTTTCTAAGGCGGAGCACTGGCCAACCCTCCACTCACATCATACCTGCTCCCCAACTTTGCTTGGAGAACCTCGTCCTTGTTGGTTTAGAGGCTTACTTAAGTCCTGCTATGTCTAGCCTCGTGAGACCATCCTGATCTCGCGAGCTTTCAAGGTTTCACTCGCAGATCAGTCTGGAGACTCTCCGTTAAAGAAAATTTGGAGCCGTTCACCAAACGAACGTCCAATCAGCGTTGGCTTTGAGGCGGGTTGAGGTGTGACGCAACGAGAAGCGCGACAGTTCAGTCTAAAGAACATGGCGGCTTTAGCCGATGAAACTAGCGTTAGCGTGGCTATCGAGCAAGTTTTATCGGAATTACAGAGTATTTCTTCCCTGAAAGAAGAGCAAAACACTGCTCTGGAGGCTTTTCTCAGAGGAAAAGATGTTTTTGCTCTTCTCCCGACTGGTTTCGGCAAGAGTAGCCTGGCTTGTGGTTGTGTTTTCGTCGTCGCTCTGTTAGTACGTCATATGCTTCGTTGATCTGATTGGTTTATTTGGTCCGTCTATCACCAACATAGGCCAATCAGCTAACCAGTATTTTCGCCCCTTCCCAAAATTACTTCAACGGAAGGTTTCCAGATGGAAATCCATCTGGCGGAGTCAGGTTATTCTATGTCACCTCCATCAGGCAAAAAGGCATTTTAGGCCAAGAAGTTTAATATTCATTTTTATTTAAAGCAGAACTACCTTTGAAGGTTTTGCTGAGTGGTTTAAATTAGAAATAATAAATCAAAATGCTTTTTTAATAGTGTTCAGACTATTTAAGCTGTAACCTGAAAATATATTTCTTTTATTTCCACTCCTGCATTTTTTTTTATTTATAAAGGGTAGTTGTCACTTAAGATATTTTTTCCATCTTTTAAATTCAAACGCTAAAACACCATTTTAATGTTTAAGGTTTTCTCTTAAAAACCTTTTCCATAATAAAACCTTCACTTAACATTGATTTCCCACCATCCTGCTAACCACAGCTTCACATCTTCCCAGCAGACCATAAGATGAACCTTAAAATCATTTTTAAGTGGTTATTTAATTTTTTTTTTTTTTTGCATATGGAGAAAAAAAAAAAAGACTCTTCTCTGCTGGTTTTTAATGCAGAGTGGCGCTCCACTGCTACCACCACTTTAACACTACTTCACTCCAAAGCTGACGTCTGATGTGCGATCATGCATTATAGAGCTAATGTCTCCCCTGTGAGTCATGCTGTCTCCAGCTTGTCAGCCCGAACTTCCCTTCCTTCCTCTCCTTCCAGGGAACAATCACGACACAACTGCAGAGGTGCTGTCGTTTTACTCTGTCCTCAGAGTCTCGTTAGAGAAGATGTCACAACTCTCATTTCAGAAACTCTTTGTTATTCAATGTTGCATTGACAGATATTTGTGTGTTTTACATGTTTTTCTTGATCAGCAGAGGGTGTAATGTTTCAACCTCAGATATTACAAAAAAAAAAAAAATTGTTTTTGATTTTAATGTGGGTGTGCAGCAGTGAAAACTGTTTGGACCGTGACCGTACAGAACAAGCTTTGGATTACAGCTCGATTGTCACACATTTAGCTCATTTGCATTGTATTTAGCAGGTGTCTGTGCGTGTGAGTGGGTGCGCTGGATCTGCTCGCTCAGCGTTTGTGGATGGACGGGGCTTTGTTGTGATCTGCCGCGTTTTCTCTCTGCAGGGTGCTGCTCCGGGTCAGAATGCTCTACTACCTGAAACAAGAGGTGATCGGAAGTCAGGCCCAGAAGGTGCTGGACGGCGGCGACTCCAGGTGAGCTCAACTACAGCAATGCTCTGGTGTTGATTTTATGCCTTTACTGAAAGAGGAAAAAAATAATCTAACCTATTTATAAATAAAATAAGCAGAAAATTACCTCAGCACCAGATGTGCTAAGGTCTAGTTAGATGTAGATGTAGAGCTGCTGAAAGGAAACAAGTCTAGGTTGAAATACTTATAATTTTGAAATACATTTTGAACATTTAAATTGATGTGTGGGTTTGGACATCATTTCAACTTGTTGAAGGAGGAAACTCTTGCAAAGCATTCATTAAATGGAGGCACAGCACACCCTGCTGGTGAAATGGGTTAGAACACCTTAAACATTAAAGTAGGCTTTTTGAAAACGCACATGACTTAAATCAGTAAGAATTCATGTTTATTTTATGTTGTTTAATTTATATTAAAGCTATCCTTAGTAGTTTATCCTTTGTGTTTACAGTAAACGGAGCAATGGGTAAAAACCTTTAAAATTATAGAAATTTTACATGCAGCTTCTCCATTCAGTAGGAGGTTAAAGACAAAGTGCATCTCAGCAAATTTGAATGTCATACAAATTCTATATATTCATTAGAGAAAGATTTAACTAAAGAATTTTTTTCTGATTGTTCTAATCTAGTTAAATATGAGCCGTTTGCTGATTGGTTGCTGGTTTTAACCTCTGCTCTATCTTTGTTTGTGTTTTTGCCCAATTTTATGCCAACTCCACTTTTGTCATTCTGCCCCAAAGTAGCTGTGGCTGCCATGTAGCAAACCACCATCAGTGCAGGAATGGATAAATGACTGAATGTAGTGTAAAACACTTTAAACTTGGACTTGAAAACATGCTACATAAGTTAAGTTCAGTTAGTATTTTATCAGTTATGAAGGAGAAGCCGGAAAGGTCCATCCTTAATCCTTAACTAGAGCTTCAAACAATGCTGATTTCAAGTCAACAATTGCAAACTTAAGTGGAAAGTGGGAATAGTGTGATAGTTAGCATCATGACTTGGAGGGAGTTTACTTCAAATGTAAATTAATTTGGCTTCATTTTTGGCTGTCACATTGTCATCATCTGGAGGAAGAGAAAAGAATCAAAGAGCTGATTCCATGTTAGCAGTTCCAGAGCTACCAATACCAGATATATTGAGTACCAACAGGTTAGGTGCCACAATATTGTAATGCTGTGAATTTAAAGAAAGAGCTGAATCAATGGCTTTGTTCAATGAGCAGTGGCATAAAAACATACATTTCATTTGGCCAGCATCCGTATTTGAAAATATTGTTTTTTTTGCATGTGTTTTGCGGTGGGATTCAGAAAAAACCTTCAAAACTATCACAAGTAATGCTTTAAGTATTTTAGTTAGTGGGTAATGAATATATATGAGTTCTGATCATATTGTAATTATCATCAACCAGAAATCAGATTATTTTTTCCATGTTAAAACATGTTTGTTGGTGTTGAGTTTCAGTTTAAACTTCCTGGAAAATCCAGACTGTGAGACGGGCTGGGTTTTTTTTTTTTTTTTTTGGACTGGTTATTCATACCAGAAACGCCCATCAAAACGTGCTCTCCACAAACTGAGACTTTGTTCCTCCTTCTGTAATGACATCAGTCCTGGCAGGGTGCTAACATTAGCCCGCCTTGCTATCACCACTCCTGTCTCTTACCTGCAGGTGGTGTTGCTATTTGTGTAAGAGACCAGGAAACAATGGTAAACAGACATTAGCTAACTGCTAATGTTGCTAACGCTACATCCACGTTAACTTAAATACACACAGGTCAAATTCTTGTGCATTCCCTCGTGGGAAAACAGGGATCTGAATGAGCCATTTCATTGTGGTTGTCCTGAAAATGATTAAACTTGAATTTATGGAATTTCTGAAGGATTGTATTTAAAGTGAAATGCACCTGTGTATCATCTTTATGCAGATTGGTAGCCATATTCTTCCCTTTCTTTGTTCCACAGTGAGGTTAAGATCTGGGTGCCGGACCCGGACCACTCGGAGCTCCCAGCCCTTTGGTGGGATGCAGTCGCCGATAAATGTCTTCTACTTGGAGTCTTCAAGCATGGTACAATAAAAACAAGATTATTTTAGGGGGAAATTAAAGTCTTTAAATGTATTTGTGTTTTTTATAGAACTCGGGACTTGATTTGATTTTATTGAAATTAATTGCCAGACACATTATTTTGAGTTGCAAACTTATCTTCTTGATAAGTGGAATAAATTTAGTTTTGTTGTCCCTATTTTTAACCTAGTTATCTTTGCTCCCAAATGTTTGGTGTGAATTCAGACAGCTTGTGTGTGTCTCCTGATCACTATCCACAAGTTTCCATATATTATCATCTGCTAAATGTGCCGTTTTGTTTGCCTTTCTGCTTCTCCCAGGATATGAGAAGTACAACACAATTCGAGCAGACCCAACTCTGTGCTTCTTAGACCGCGTTGGTCGGCCGGATGAGAAGGCCATCGCTGCTGAGCAGAGGAGCAATGACTTCATGGATGGGTGAGTCCGGAGCCCGACTGCTTTTGTCGTACTCTGCTGTATAAAGGTGAACTGGTAAAAGCACTGTGCATTTTGACTGTAGGGATGTGGATGATCCAGAGTATAAACCTGCTCCAGCCCTTCTGAAAGATGAGATGGAGGTAAGCCAACAGATATAAGAGGAAATAGGAAGTGGTTATTACTGTAATGATTCAGCTAATGAAGGACATATCTTTTTGACATGCCTTTAATAGTTAGAGTGGACGTCATCTTTGTTCTCAGAGCCAAGTTAGTTAATAGATAAAGATATAAGTTATCCAGAGCCTCTTATAGTTGGCTCTGAAACGATGGGTGTCATGATTATTAGACGTAAGCAGCATCATACACACAATATTTGGACAGTTTATCCTTAAAGTGTTTAAGTTTCCTGTATGATCTCATCAAATTGTCTCTTTAAAGCACCTTGAGATTAGATGTGTTGTGAATTGGTGCCATATAAATGAGCCCAATTGAATTTACAATCAGAAAGTTGGAAAAAATGGCCACTATGATAGAAATTATTTAGAAGTGTTTTTTTGTGTGTTAAGATGGCCACTGATTATTTATTAAGAGCAGCTATTTAGGGAGTGTGGATTAGCAATGCTTAGAGTGACCATAGAATATGCCATTTATCTCTGGAGTAAAAGGGAAAAGGTTTAGGTTAGTTTCTAAATGAAGGGCATCTTGAAACCTGAATCAGTGGGCCCAACACTGCCCCCCTCTGGCTGTGCCACACATCACACAAGTTGATTCTCTCTAAACCAGTTAATGGAAAAATATCTCCTTTTCTGACCAAATGATAGCTTTGAAAACTTAATAAAATTGAACTTTTACTTATTTTGGCCATGAACATTGGGAGTCATTTATCTTTGAGTCACATTACAACTTTTCATTCAGTGTTCAGCATTTTTTTTTTTTTTGGACCTGTTGATAATAAGAGGAACTAAATCTATAATGCTTGATCTTTACTGTTAAGCAGCATGGTATTCCTGCGGCTTTCTGTAGCTCTAAAGGAGATACCTGTTATCTAGTCAGTCAGTCATGATTGGTTCCCACCTGTATACAATACTAATAAAGAAAAAAAACTGTTTCAAGTGTAGGAGCCTTCTGTTAGTCTGTTTACCAACAGAGAAGGAAGGTTGCTGGGGTGTTGAGCCACACTAAACTGGAGTAAACTGGAACCACTTAAGTTTTTTTTTTTTTTTTTTCGAAACTTCATGAAGAGACTTTAAACCCTAAGAAATTTTTAACCAAAAGTTTTAGTGGTTTTTTAGCTATGAACTTTTTTATTTATCTTGCTGGCATACGATATAACCAACATCTTATCAGTAATCAGCCTGGGAGATAGGAGGGGTGTAAAGGTAACCAAAGATTCCAGTTTACTTCATACTTTAGCTTTAACATCAGGGTTCAGTAAGGTTTTGGGAAAATTATAAAATATATATTTTTTTCACTTCGTTCAGCAATAATAGGACTTAAAATTTAACTTTTTGAGAAAATAGTTAGACTTTCGAAGAGTGGCTAATAAAGAACTGACCTGAGATCTGGTTTTAATTTTTACATTTTCTCTCTTTAAGATCTATAATAAAGCGTTTTTGCACAAATGTTACCCTCTTAAAATACAATGATTATTAGTGTTGATGTTTTGGTCGGGTTAAAAGCTGTCATAGGAAGCGTATGCAAATTTCCGGCCAAATAGCCTGATTTTTATTTCATTTTGTTTCTGCTGACTCAAACGTTAGCTGGAAACGGCAAACGGATGAAATATAAGGGTTTCAATATTTCAAATATTGGGCAAAACTGTGTAAATTCTTCTCTGAATGAATACATAAATAAACCAACATTTTTTTTTTATTTAAAATTCAGTTTAGGAACAAATGCTTTAATGCACAAAGGTAGACCAACGATACCCTTTATTTTCTGTTGCTTTAAAAGCTACTACCCTAAACAAAGACCCTTCAGTCCTTTTATATTATAATATAAAAATAATTATATATTAAATAATAATAATAATCTGAATTGACAGTTTAGAGGTTTAATTGGTTGTCAGTAAAGGCCATAAAGAGCCTAATGGCTCCATTTCTGATTCTATAAATCCACTTTGGATGAGTCATAATAATCTCCTTGTTTCCTCTAAAGTCGATGTATCTAAAGTGTTTGATGTCCTGCAGGATGACGCCTCCTCCCCTGGAGATTTGGTGGTCTCTGATAATGCTGGAGGTGGGTATTAAATCTTTGCAATCCTTCGTGGTATTTTATATTTATTTCAAGCAAAGCCTTCCTACGCAGGGCAAAGCATTAGGATCTTGTTTCCACATATATTTTTTACTTCATTCCAGATGCACCTCTGTTGACGGAAGGCCAGACTGCTTACTGGCCCTCCCCCTCAGTGCTCACAGCCAGACTGAGGCGACTGATCACAGCCTCCCAGCGCTACACAAAGAGTCGGCAGATCCTCCACATCCATCAGACTCAGTCCCACCCTCAGACCCAGCAGGCCATGATGCTCTCTGCCCCCGTCTGCCCACTGGCCCCCACACTTAAAGACACGCTTAACCCTAAAATGGCTGCAAAGATTGAACGCCAGCAGAGGTCAGAAGCTGAGGAGATTGATAAATACTGAAAAAACAATCAAAACATGCTCATGTTATTGGAAATGCAGTGATTGTTTATGTTTTTATCTGTAATCTACATGCGCTCCCTGCAGATGGACCAGGAGAGAAGAAGCTGATTTCTATCGGGTGGTCTCCACCTTTGGCGTCGTTTTTGACCCAAACCTCGGGCAGTTTGACTGGACCAAGTTTAGGGCCATGGCTCGGTTGCACAAGAAAACAGACGAGAGCCTTCAGAAATACCTCTGCGCCTTCACCGCCATGTGCAGGAGGGTGTGCCGCCTGCCACCCAAAGATGGAGGTCAGAACCTTCCTTATTTCTAGCTTTTTGCATTCACGCATGTATTTTCTTGTTTAAAATCAGAAAAGAGGCTGGGAATAGTTCCAGACTGTCTGCTTTTAGAGTAGTCAGTAGCTGTTTGGTAAACACGCTGTCCTGCCACCTCAGGGGTACAGCTGATAAGGTTAATCATTACAGGAAAGGCAAATATTGTAACTTTAAAGTTGTAGGCACCAATAAGCCTACAAGGTTGTATCTGTAGAACAAACATCATTTCCTCTTGTTCCAGATTTGGCAGTGGATCCTTCCCTGACCATCCAGCCAATCACAGAGGAGCGAGCATCCCGTACCCTGTACAGAGTAGAGCTGCTTCGACAGGTCAGGGAACAAGTCCTCAGACACCCGTTACTGTATGAACGCCTGTCCCTGTGCCAGATGAGCTCTGATCTTCCTGTGTGGTGGGAGGCTGGGACTCACGACCGTGACCTGCTGATTGGTGCTGCAAAGCACGGCGTCAGTCGGACGGATTATCACATTCTTAGAGACCCCGATCTCTGCTTCATGGCAGCCCAACGCAACTACAGCCAGGTGAAGGCTGCCCAGCAGCAGCAGCGCACAGCGACCCCGCTGCTGCATACCCAGTATCAGGCTCCCAGCTCCTTACCGCCAGGTTCCCCACTGCCTCCACCTCAACACAGAGACCCTGACCCCTGCGGACTTGTTCCAAAAGTGGAACCAGCCTCGGAGGAGGAGGTAAAAGAAAGGCAGGGGGAGGGATGGAGCCCCCCTCAGCTGCCAGCGACTCCCACTGGCCTGGAGGAAAAGCCGATTTTAGGGGCGAAGGACAGCGAGAGGCAAATGGTGGCGGCGCGAACCAAACCGCTAACGCCCAACTCCACAGAAAAGAAACCCAAGAAGGCGAGCAAGAGGGGCCGCAGGGAGGCCCGGCGAGGCTCCGAGTCCGACTCGGATCGCTCCTCCTCCAGCTCTTCCTCACGCTCATCTTCATCGTCTTCATCCTCCTCTTCCTCCTCCTCGCACTCTGGCTCAAGCTCTTCCTCCTCCTCATCGTCTTGCTCCTCCGGCTCTTCTTCGTCATCGTCGTCCTCTTCCTCTTCTGATGACAGTGAAAGCGAGGGAGAGGAAGCCAAGAAGAAAGGTGAGTTCCAGAAGGTTTAAGGATGTAATACTTCCTGTTTGGTTTAAGAGGTCATAAACCTAGAGGCATGTTTTTGGAAACCTTCCCCTGGTTTTCACAGTGCCTGTAACCGCGAGTGTTAAAGGTTTCGACGAGGACAGCGTGGCGTCTCTGAGCACCACCCAGGACGAAATGCTAGACTCTCACATGTCTGAGAATGGAGTCGCAAACAGCTCCTCCCATCCTTTCCAGGGAGGAGGCTACATGTTGGCTGCATCGTACTGGCCCAAGGTAAATACTGTACCTCTCTTGCTTTTCATATCTAGAGCTCGTTAAGCTCTTAGTAACGTTTACATTTCAGCTGAAAGTTCAAATTCTGATCACCTGCTGGCCTTCCTATTCAATGTTCTCTTCTATGTCTGTTATTTTCCTTTGATTCTAATCTCTGTTTCAAAAGTCAAATAGCCATAATGGGGCTAAAAGGCAGAATTATGTTTTTAGAAAATAATATGCAGTTAATTAAGTTGCAGTTGATTTTTTTTTACTCTTTTAATTAGAATTTTCCTATATGGTTTAAGTGCATTTAAAAGAGTTTAACATCACAAAATGGCCACTGTTTAATGGGAATAAAAATGATGAAGAGCTAAATTGATCCCTGGGCTCATTTTTCCTTATTTGTTTTTTAACTTTTCTGTTTCCTCGACTAGGACCGTGTGATAATCAACCGCCTGGACAGCATCTGCCAGGCTGTGCTTAAGGGCAAGTGGCCTGGCCACCGCCGGGTCTATGAGCCCGGCAGCACGGTCGCCTCCTTCTACACCACCAAGCTGCTGGACAACGCCAACAGCCTGTGCGAGGACCCCTCTGCCTCTCCACAAGGGTCAAAGGTGACCAAGCATGTTGCAGAAAACAAGGAGTTCTCAGTAAAACTCAATGATGTATGTCTGATTTCTCAATTCCTCCCTCCGCCCCCATCCCTCCGCTTCAGCCCTAACTGTAGGACCCTACCTACCTCTTCTCTGCCACGACCGCTGTTAGCTGCTGCGTTCAGCATGTCTCTGCGCTCTCCGACCCGCTTTCCTTTGGGGATGATTAGCGGTTTGCGCTGCCTGGCAGGAGGAGAGATTAATTTAATAACAGCCTTCCCGTCTTTTCCCACGCACTCTGTTTGAATTGGGCTCTCAGGCTGTGATTATATGAACACCAATCATTCAGGCATGAGTGTATGATAAGCTTCCGTTTGATGCCCCTCTGCACTGAGGGGGTCTTGCCTGTAATCTGACTGGAATGGGGGACTTTTTAATGTTTTTTCTAATATGCTTGTTGGCAACATGGCTATAACCTAAGGAGGAATCATTTTTCCTTTTAATCCTTTCTTGTTGCATTTTGATAAAACTGATTCTGTTTTTTTTCTTCAGAAAGCTGCTTGTTGTCTTTAAATGGGGACATTTTATGCTGACAGCAGCTACTGTAACTCTTTGGCATGACTTCTAAGCACAGTCCAGACTCCAAATAGACTTTACCCACTGCCCTGCTCAGCACCACCCACTGTGTGTTCATGTGTCCCACAAGTACTAACAAAAAAACACCCTGAAAAGTCTTTGCTGTCATTGTTTGAGAAAAACTTTCATGAAATTGATAGATTTTATCTTAAACTTTTAAAAGCTTTTAAAAGCAAAATAAATGAAACAATGTAACCTGTTTTGTGAAGAGTAGATCACATATTTTTTCAAAATCAGAAAAATAATATAAGAGCCTTTGAGGTATTTTCTTTGTATTCCATGATGTTTTTAACCTCAGTCTGATTAACCTTCATGTCTGTGATTGTAGCAGGAGGGCGGACTAAAGCTGACCTTTCAGAAACAGGGCCTACCGGTAAAGAGGCCCCTAGAGGCCGAAGAGGGCCCACAGGCCCAGCAGCAGTATCTGGCCCGGCTCCATGAGCTGCAAAGCGCTTCAGACACAGGCCTGGCTGACATAACCAAGCCCCAAAGCAGCTTCCAGACTGGTAGGTTGTTTCCTTTTTTATTTTTTTATTTAAGCCTGATATGCCTAAAAAGATTTTAAAGTGCTTAGACTGTTCTACTCCTCTTTTGGCCACTAGATGGCAGCAGAGCATAGTGTTACTGAACTGAGACTTTCAGATGATTTTATATACAATTTATAATATATAAACAGGAAAAAATATATATATAAGATAGATAATATATATTATTATTATTTTTTTTCCCCTGTTAGTAATGGTGCTAAAAAACACAAATGTATGTTTTTTCATACATAAACCAAAAACTTCCTAAACATTAAAAAAAGACCAATAAACAAAAAAAATATTAGTATTTTAAATTGAGAAAAGCTCCTTTGTTGCCTCTGCAATTATGTAGAGGATGCCCAGCAGTCATTCTAAGCTACAACATGTCAGTGCGACTGAAGAAAGTTTAGCGGAAGGAAAACGTAACTGCTGCGTTTTCCAATAAATACATAACCATGTCTGTCAAGTTGAGACGGAACTTTTAAAGCAGCTGCCAATACTCTTCTTTTAATTTGTTCTTTCATGCAGACGTTCACAGCAGCCATGCTGTCTCTCCTTCAGTTATTCCGGGTGTTAGTGGTCAGATGAGGCTGAATGGAGCAGTGGACGGTCAGCCCATGGTTAAGAAGAGAAGGGGAAGAAGGAAGAATGTTGAAGGAATGGAGCTGCTCTTCATGAACAAGAATAAATCACCTATTAATTCAGATCCGGTAAAACTTAATTAACTCCTTTGTAAATATTCTATAAATAATAAAAAACATTTTTTAAACTACAGGAGGTAGACTAAATGAAAACATTCTGTTCTTATGCCCGCTCAGGTGGCTCCAGGATGGGGTGGAATTGGTCAGGTGGGAATCACAGGAGCTGCTGTACCAATGAACTCCAGTCAGATCCCTGCAGACACAGACACCAGGGTCCCTGTTATCAACCTTAAAGATGGCACCCGACTAGCAGGGGACGACGCTCCTATGAGGAAAGATCTAGACCAGTGGCTTAGGGAGCACCCTGGCTTTGTGGCGGATACAGGAGCTTTTATCCCAGTGAGTTTCTTTTTTTTTTTTTTCTTCACTCTCAGCTGCTCTGGTTTTTGTTTGAAAATTCAGAATTTCATTTTACTGAAATATGCTTGTTTTCTTTTTTCTAGGGGGTGAATAAGATGCAGATGCAGTTCCACTTCCAGGATGGACGACCGAAGCAGAAGAGGCACCGCTGCAGGAATCCCAACAAGATCGACGTGAACAGTCTAACAGGGGAGGAAAGGGTGCAGATCATAAACAGGAAAAATGCTCGAAAGGTGAGTTTGTGTCTAATTATGAAGCTCCTCTCCCAGTACGTTTGGTCTTGGTTTTCTTTCTGTGTGTTTAGAGTTTGGCTCTTTTCATGCTTCATGCGGTTTGCTTTTCTTCTTTAGATCGGTGGAGCTTTTGCTCCTCCTCTGAAGGATCTGTGCCGGTTCCTTCAGGAAAATCCAGAGTATGGGGTCCCACCAGAATGGGCTGACGTGGTTAAACAGTCGGTGAGTAACAGTAGTTGTTTTCTCTTTCCACGTTGAGTTCTGTATTTATTTATGTTTTAGTGAAATTGTTATATAATTTTGCTCTAAAGTTGGTATTTAGATACATTTTGAAGTAAAGGAATCTTAGTTTTGCTGTGTTAACCTTATAACCTTGTCTGTTATTTAAAACCAGGGTTATCTCCCTGAGAGCATGTTTGACCGGATCCTGACGGGACCCATCGTTCCTGAGGAGGTCAGCCGACGAGGACGCCGACCCAAAAACCCTCTGGCCAAGGCTGCGGCAGCCGCAGCGACGCCCAGCTCAGCAGCCTCCACCCTGGGTTTGAACCCTTTGCTGGCCAACGGCATCCTCTCTGGAATGGACCTCGGCAGTCTGCAGGCCTTCCAGCAAAACCTCCAAAGTTTACAGTCCCTGCAGCTGACCGCAGGCCTCATGGGGCTGCCGCCCGATGCAAGCAACCTGGCTGCTAGTAACCTTGCTGCCATGTTTCCCATGATGCTTTCTGGCATGGCAGGATTGCCAAACCTGCTCAACATGGGCGGCCTGCTTGGAAAACCGACTCAGGAAGTTGCAGGAGGTTCTGAAGAGAGGGCGAAGGGAACCGACACGAGTGGAGCTACGGATCAGTCGAATGCCCCGCCTCATAGTTCAGAAACCAAAGGAGAAAGGACAGAGAGCTCCAACGTGACTCCTTCCTCCACTTCCAGCTCTGCTTCCTCTGCCACCGTCACACAAAGTGCTTCAGCTGCCTCTGCAGCTACCAGTCACCCACTTTCTCTTAACCCCTTATTACTCTCCAGTATGCTTTACCCAGGGATGCTTCTCACTCCAGGCCTTAACCTTCCTGTGTCTGCCGCACAGCCACAGAGCTCAAACAGCGACCCTTCAACCCTTCCACCCGCTGCTCCTTCCGCTCCTTCAGCCTCCCAGTCGTTACCGACGGAGGCGGGGCAGCCATCAGGAAAGGGTGAAGAGGAGGGGCCAGAGGAGGCTTTGGATGAAGAGGAGGAGGACGAGGAATCTGCAGAACCGAGAGAAAACAGTGGTCCCGAATGTTCAGCGAAAGCGGAGTCATCTTCATCAGAGTCTGGGAGCTCCTCCTCATCCTCCGATGATTCAGACTCCAGTGACGAGGACTGAACCGATGAACACAAAATAAAAAAATTTATTTATGTATTGCCTAGAAATGTAGACATTTATTCACATATATATGGATTTTCCAGCACTTATGTTGCGATTTCTTTACGTGTAAATATAAGAACTAACTACGTTGTGTAAAAAAACAAAACAAACAAAAAAAAAAAGACTGTAAAAAAACCCTAAAAAAAACTGAATTAAAGGAGCTGAAATAAAATGTTCATGTCTGTTCACAAGGTACAGTCTTGTTTTGAGACAGTTTGCATGTCAGACTTTGGTACTTTCTGAACTTTGTGAACTTGTAACGCTGATAATGTACAATTGCAACAGAAAAAAAGGCATTATTGTAATTATGCTAATTATGTCAGGATTAATTTTATTAAAAAAAGATAAAACTACATCAACTCGCTCGTTGAGCAGTACTATTAATATATTTTGATTGTTGTGGCGGTTGACACTTTACAAACACTTGGGTTCACTTGTTAAATAGCCAGTACATTTGCAGGTTTGTTGACACTTTGGCTTTGCAGATAAACGTTGGATAATGTCAGCAATAACCTGGGCAGCTAATGAATGTCACTGAAGCTGTAGATTCTCTCATCTGCCATGTTTCCACCCCCAGTTTATAATTCATACATACTGCCCCCCCCCCACCCGCATTCAACCCTTTTTATTTATCTTAGGAACCGGATTAAACATTGATTGGGGAAATTAGTTAGTTTTCTGTTTAGGATTAATCCAAATTTTAGAGATGCATCCCTTTCAAGGTGCACTTTATATCCTTAAATAAGGCAAATGTTTTTTTTGTGTGTGTGCAGTTCTTAGATGACGTTATCTATTGACAGGAATTAGGTTTCTGCGGTGTGCCAAAAAAAAAATTCTTAAAAAACCCGACCCCGACGTCCTGAAAGTGTTTTGTGGATAGAATTCCATAAATCCCATCGTATTTGACCGCATCTTTACCTCACCTTTGGCTCCACTGTGCAGATGTACATATGCATGTCTGTCCGTTTTTTTTCCTGGACCGTGTTTGAATGCGTCTCTAAAGCCAGCTCTCCCTCATCCCCTCTGTGACATCACGCCGTCTCCCGCTGTCCCGTCTTTCCTGCTTCCAGAACTTTTCCAGTCCGAATGTTTTTGCGTTCAAGGAGCTTCACTGGTTTCGACTTGTGATTACAAGTGTTCTTTATCTTCAAACATGCCTCTTCAGTCATCTGAAGGAAGTTTAAAGTGTTTCATGAAAGCCTGTGGTGTTAAAAACGTTCAAGTGCCACAAGCACAACATGGATCAATCCTGTTTAAGACTGCGTTTGATTGTTTATCATAGTTGAGTATTACAGTTAGTGCTGGACGGGCTTTGCTACAGGAAGGGCTTTATCATTTCAAACTATGTTTATTATGCCGGGAGTCTGCAGCTCTGTGTCGTTTATCTCACACCGTTCACAAATCTGTTTTGCTGACAAACTGAGCTTCAGCTAGATGTAGAAGTGCCCTTATCCTGCACCTCATCCTCTCATTGAGCCGCTCACTTGCCATGCTTGTGTGTTTCCTTCAGCTTTCCATGCACACGTCCATTTTCGGAGCTGTAACCAGGTTACACATACAACACTGGACTACACTCGAGCCGAAGTACCTTTTTTAATCCTCTCTGGCACAACAGTGCTCTCTAGGACTGCTGTTACACCGTTGACTGTTAGATATTTCCAAGGAGAAGGGGGCCCCTGCATAAACTGTTGAATTCCTGAGTATCTGTAGCACCTCTCTCTCTCTCTCTCTCTCCAGTGGGCCTAAAATAAAAAATAAAATAAAAATAAAAAAATTACGAGGTCTGAAGACAAAGACTGAAGACTCCTCTGTTTTCTAATGTTGCTTTAAAGTGGTTTTCTTGTATGCCTGCTCTATATAGACCTCATCATGGTTTGCTTTCAATACAACTTACATTTTTCTAATGATTACCAACAGTATGGTATTTTTCTATGTCTGAGTAAAACGTACCACTGTCATTTTGTAAATTCACACCACTGCTCTGTTTTAACTGGTAGTGCCCTTATGCAAACACCCAGCCGCTGCTCCGTCTGCTGTAAGCCACTGATGGAATGATTGTCGCCCCTCAGCGAAGCCTCAGTGGAGTAAATTTGCGAGCTGCGGCTTGTTGGAACAGAAGTCGGAAGGGGAAAGGACCCGAATGAGAAATATTTGTATTCATATTTTGGCGTGATTGAAGTAAACAGAGACCAATATGCAAGGGGAACGACAAAACACTACTGCTGTAAAAGGATGACACAATGAGCAAACATGGGATTTGTATTTTCAGTTCAGCTTGATAAGACCGTAAAATGTCACCTTGGTCAGTTTGTCTTTATTTTTTTTCTCATTGGAAAGTTGTAATTCTTGCAAGATGTGGTCTGTGTAGTCAAAATAATTATTGTAGTGCAGGAAAATGCGTCTTAAAGTCATTTGTAATTTATTGGATTACTTTCTATGAAGTTCTATAGAGGAAATTGAGGTTTAATTATTTTTATTAAACATATTCTTCTGACTATTCATCAAATGTGTCTGTGCTTTTTGTTTTAACTAATAATTTTGATCAAATTATTCTGTTCTTACAGTAATTTAGAGACTTCTAAACCAGTCGAAGCAGAAATATTTGCAAAATCTCTAAACATGCCTGAGCATATAAAAAAAAGACAAGTTTTAACCTATATTTAATTTTCTGTCTTACTTCTTAAATGCGAGAAGGAATCAATATTTTTCTGATACAGCAGTCCTCTCATTATGACAACAGTTCTAATTGGAGAAACTTTTAATTGGCTTAAGCTTAATCCTCTCGGGCTTAAATTAAGTTGTAGTTGCAGGAAAAATCTGATATTTGGAGAAAACGATCATATGGGGTAGTAATATAGAATTTTTTTGAGAGAG